AAATGTAACTCAGCTAATGGCAGATTTACCCGCTTCAAGAGTTACTCAAGCAGAGCTTTTTCTCGTGTAGGTATCGATTCAGCAGGACCATTTAACGTCAAATATCGTTCTGGTAGAGGAGTGGAAATCTTTTAAATGTTATGCATGTTTATCTATTTCTTTTTTTTTTTTTTTTTTAAACTACCAGGGCAATACATTTAGAATTAGTTGGAGAACTTTCAACAAAATCACTCCTTGCGACACTTGAGAGGTTAGAGACAAATCGTGTAAAATTCATAGTGATTGTGCAGCGAACTTTATAGGAGCTAATAAAAAATAAAGAAAGCCTTTTCTACTGTTCAGCATGATGAACAACTTCAGGGTTATATTTCTTTAGACATTATTAAGTGGTTATTTAATCCACCCTCTGCACTTCATTTGAGGACTTTGGGAAGTGGGTATCAAGTCCATGAAACATAACTTAAAAATATATTTAGGAAAACTTATTTTAACATACCAGGAATTTTTGACATTATAATAACTCAAATTGAGTTCTGTCCTAATTGGTAACAGTTTCCAGCTTATTCGGTAACTAATTTAATCCTGCCTTTGGTAACAGCTTCAAGTGATTGCAATGACCTGGAGGCCATAACGGCAGGACATTTCTTAACAGGGGCGGCTTTAAGCATTCTTCCAGAACCTAACCAAATTCAAGAAACCATGACTTGCAGTGAGCGTTGGAGAAACTTACAAAAGCTGTTTCAACACTTCTGGAAGAGGAGTAGTGAGTATTTATTTAGGTTGCAGCAGAGACCTAAGTGGTGCAAGTCCCATAGCAAGATCTGAAAGTTGGTGATATGGTCCTCATTAAGATCGAGAATCTACCTCCGCTACGCTGGAAATTAGGTATAATTGCTAATTCTCAGGAGATTTGGTATACAGGAAAATTCATTATGCTTAGCTTCTAATTCACCTGGCTCCGCAGGGCACTTCACTTTTGAATGTAAATTTGAAAAATAAGTGTACAACAAATAAAAATTGCAAATTTTGAAAATATAAGCTATAATAAATCACGTAAGTAGATTGTAAGCGTTATTAACGGTAAACGGAGTGCATGTGATGTTTTTATATAATCAACATTATAGCAGTATTAACTAAAAATTCTCTTTTTATTTGCATTTTAGTGATCGTAGAATTTTATAGATTTGATTTGGAATTTTTACTCGTAATATGTTGAAGTATTCAGATACTAATTTTATGCCTTGTGAGTTTTTAACTCTATACGCCCCCTTTTTTTAACTTTATATGTGTTAATAGTTGTGATTGTGCTTGGAATTGGTTTTGTGGTGGGCTCCAGCACTTCTTACTTTTTGGTATAAATCATAATTCTTGGCGGAGCGTACCGGAGCCCTAAGTAAGAAGGCTCTGGTAATTCTTTTATGTAACTGAACAACAATTTCAGTAGAAATTTTGATCTCGAACATTTTATCGTTTGCAATAAAAATGTATTAAAAATCGTTTATTAAATTTTAGTTAAAAAAATTATAATTAATTGATTTTTATTTAATTCATTATTAATATGAATCAAATAATTTGATAATTAACTATTTAATTAACAAATTATTAATGATTTTAATAGTTATTTTATTTATTTAATTTTGTTCCTCTTTGTTGACGGCCTTCCATAGGGCTCAGGCACTTCTAATTTTAGAAATGAAGTCCTGGGTGGAATTCCTTATTATGTGATGAATTAACATATTAGTAACATTGATGAAAATAAATATCTTAAATCTGTTCAAAATGGCATAACTCTTTAATTAGAGCCAACCCAAACAAGACCATAAGATCTATTTTTAGACCAGGTGGATCAGGTCGTATTCCTCTCATTTGTATATCCTGGTCTGAAGGACAGAGTGGTAAGTTTACGCACCTCCAATAGGGAAATAAGGAGACCAAAACTATGTCCTTTGCCATTCAATTCATATTAGAAACTTTTATTTTTCAGGTATATTCAGTTTTGATAATTTTAAAGTTTATTGTTTGAACTCGCTAGGGGCTTGAAGGCTAGAGGTATGTTTGTTGTTATACAAATTGTATTTCTGTTGTTGAACTGAGGAGCGGCGCAGACCGCAAATTTGTTAAGGCTTTTAAGCGTGCGTTTGGAGCTTCAAGGTTGCTGGGAATTACTGGAATTCCAACGAGGCAGAGCTTCTTTAGATGCGCTTTTGAATCTAGAGGTTTGCCGAGTTCTGTTGCCGTTCCTCAGCCAATGTGATGTTTGAAAGCCAATAAAAAGATTCGGTTTCTGATTATGAGTCTGAAGTTTCTTCAGCTGAGGTAATCGCAAGACAACTTTTTATGAACAACGGAACATACAAGATGAATAAAATTTAATGCCATCTATTCTGCTAGTCTTGAATTATTTAAAGTTGAATAAGCATTAAGAAACATCCAGTATATGAAATACTAATTGTTAGTTAAAACTTTAGATAAAATTTATCTCTTCAAAAACATGAGTCTGGACATCTGCCTGAAATGATAGTACCTTTTTTTTCACGTAAATGATTCATAAACAATAAATAATATATTAATTGAGTGAAAATTATAAGTGTCAAAACTAATTTAATACCTATAGTTAGGATATTATATTATGGGAAAAGATTCAAAGAATTTTTTCAAAACTAGCACTTAAATCTAAGAATAGAACATTGTGAAGAAGAAAATAGGATTTGTAAGTCCATGTCACATACTGAAACCATAACTTTACTTTTATTGATGGTGTAATGAATCATCAACAAACATGCTGATATTTTAAAATTTTCAGAATAAAACATGAACCTGTAAAATAATTCTGAATTCTATCATGACAATGACTAAGTATTCTGCTCTGGATATAATTTTGGCATCTGTTTTTGTCTTAAAATAATCAAAACACCTATAATCAGGTTTAAAACTCTATCGATATATCTTCCCCCCAAAAAAATGAAGCATAATATTCTAATAACAAGTAGAATATTCTTTTAAAACAAAATCTGAAATTAACAATGTAAGATGAGTGCAGCAAAAATATGTCAAAACTAATGCAAAAATGTAATTTAAGCATGCCAGTAATATTATGAGAAATTTAAAAAAAATTTGTAACTTAACAAAATATTCAAAATTCTGGTATTTTTTTAAATCACAGCTTTGCATGTAACACTTATCTTTGCTCTTCAGGTTTATAACTGCTTCATCCTACATAAGCAAAAGCAACCCAAACATAGATTTTATTTCACAAAATTTATATTCAGGGTTTTTAGTAGTATAAACAACAATATGGCAGGCTCCACAATAGTAGATACATTATTATGCCTGAGATATTTATACTGAAAATGAAAAAAAAAAAAAAAAAAAAAAAAGATTAGTTACCTTCTCACAAAGATGAATTCAGTATTACAATGATATATGTATTCATACAGCTAATAAAAATCAGCACCTGCTTTCAAATTCTAGAGTTTTAAACAACACCAATAAACATTCTAAATGAAATTCAGATTAAGATATTAGATAAAAAAATTTTGCCTCTATTTTTCTTATGTAAATTAATTAAAAATCTAAAATTATTAAAACTCTCCACAGAAATGTGAAACATACAAAGGCATAAACATGATTTAATGATGAGATGACACTAATGGACACTTTAAATGTTATAAAATTGCTACTGGATGCATATGCTATTTTCCTACTCTTATGAAACTCAGGAATTTGTCATGTATATCATTTAAGAGACCGTACACTTCTCTGCTTCCTTGATAAGTATTGTAATCATGAAAAATTTTAGGTATAATATTTCAAAGAAATAGCCATTTTGAACCACTCTGAAATCTATTTGAATGATTTTTTTATGACATCTGTATGCATGGACAGAATAAAGAACTTTCTTTTCCAAAACGGATTGTACACTGGATTCAGAATAAATTTTCTTTTGTGACGTCTGTACATACATATATAGCACAACTCAAAAACAAGTAGCCGTAGAACATTGAAATTTCGTATATGAGACTGTTATAACATGTAGTTGTGCACCTCCATTTTTCATTAAAATTGGTCACACCAAATGTGTGTATATATATATATATATATATATATATATATACACTTTAACCAACTTGGTGAGCTCTGTTTTTTTATTTTCATGTGTTGGTAAATTGGGCATTTTTTTACTTTCAAAGTGGTTGAATCCTGTTTGTCTTACATTCCAGTTAATGTTTAATCTGCATGAAACAGTTTTAGTATTATCAACAGTTGAAAAGTTTAAGTGGTAACCAGGCTTAAGAATGCCACCATTTGTTTACATTTGGAACTCTTAGCAGAATAGTGAATTAAGTCAGTTTGTGTAACAACTTCAGCATGTTTTGCCCAATGGGACCAGAAGTTTACTTTCAATAATTTAGTGCATTGAAAATTTAGTCTTCCTGCCCATTGGCCAAATCGCTTCTTTTGGCATAGAAATTTTAATTGACATTTAAAAAAAAAACTCTTTTTAACTGTATTTGGTGTTTAAGTTTTTCTATATTTTACAATTTTTAACGAATATGTTTTGTTTAATGTATTTTTGCCTTGCGGCAAAGTGGGAACTGAATTAATTGAATGAGAAAGATACCTCCAATGAAATTCATGGAAATAAGTTTAAATCAAGTGCAGCAAAAAATGTGCATAATTCAAAAGGCTGTCTAAGGAAATCATGTGGTGTCCACATAAAATATCAAATTATTTTCCAAAAACTCAGTAAATGTTTTGTTTAAAAAAAAAAAAAAAATGTATTAAATTTCATTCAGTTTTTGTGGATGTTTCCTGTTTCATTGATTTTTATTAAATACATGCATAATACATCTATATAAATAAATGTATGCTAATTAACTTAATTTTGTTGAATATATATATATATATATTAATATCATCAACACGAAATTTTTTAACACAGAAAAAATATTTAGTCCCCTCAGTCTTAAACGATTTTCATGTAATTTTACAAGAAAAAATAAACATTACAAGTTTTTAATATTCTACCATATGTATCAAAAATTTTACATAAATAGTTAATGGAAAACAAGTATAAAATAAATTTGCAATATGAAAAATTCTTGAATAACAGGATTAATTAAAAATCCTGATAACCGAAGAACATTAAATATGCACAAGATAAGGGAAAAAACTATAACCATCTATATCACATATTTATCTTTAATACAAATTATAATAGTTTGTTTCTCAACAATTGTTTACTGCAAAAGCAATTATCTGCATGAAATTTTTTTTAAGAATTTAAAATACGAATTAGATCTGCTCCCAATAATTGGTGTTTTAAGAAGAAAGAAATAATTAATTTTTCATTTTTATCAATAAATGATATACTTTAATTATTAAACATTATTTAAATATTCTTTGCCATGAATTAGTAATCTAATAATGGAGAAGCAGTTTCTAAACAAATTATTAATATTTAACTTGATAAAATTTTGAAATGCTAATAAATGTAAGATAAATCCTGATTTTTAAATAAACTTATATCAAATACAGAAAGGTATCCCTTTATAACAACTAAAGATTTCGTATGAGTTAAGCGAATTAATAATGTAAATTAAAAAACCAATTCATTTTTTGGCAACTGCTGATAACTGATCCCGTATGCGCCCTAAACCGTGTAACATAGTATCAAGTTTCTCTTTATTTAGTTCCACATTAAGAGTTTGGAATCGATCTGCATGGTTTTCTGGGAGTCCTGTGTCCTGTATCTTAAAAAGAAATAAAGAGAAATTAATATATATATATATATATTAAAAGAAAGTATAATCAATGTACACATGTTTATAACAATTTCATTCTTAAAAACTTAGCTAGCTCTAAAGAAATAGAAAAACATGAGCTAATAATTATTAATTATATATCTTTAAATTAAACTTGAACTACAAGATTAAACACTTCATGAACATGAAAACATTGAAACAGAATATTGGTTGGAAATACTGAATTAAAATTACTTACACTAGCGAATTTCAAAATTCATTTATTAATCACAATAGAGAGCACGCCTAATTACATTTCTTTATATAAAGTTACACAAAAGCTTTGCAATAAAATTTCATGAGCATCGCTTATATATCTAGTAAATTCAAATTATTTAAATTCAAATATATTTTTCTCTAATTTGGCAAAATTATATATAAATACATTTTTAATACTCAACTAACCTTTAATTGTAGAATGCATGTGGGTTCACTCATCCTAGCAATTTTCCCAGATGACATTTTCAGGTCAACTCTCCAGTCAAATTCTGCTAATCTTGGCACAGAAACTACGTTTAAAAAAAAAAAAAATTGCATTAATTTATGCAATTTTATTATTTAAATAAACTTACAACTGAAATTTCGACATGCAGTTTTCTGTCATCCAAAACTGTCAATAAGTGACCCAAAACAATAAGCTGAGAAAATAAGAGAACTATGTCATGGAAGCCAAGAGATTTTCTTTTGATGACACTAATACAACATTTCTTAAATTTAAGACAATAAAATTTTGCTAAGTTTTAATAATTGCTATTCTGTATCTGGAAAGTAAATATTTCAATAAACACAAGTTGTAAAATTCTCGAAATCAAGTAAGAAAAGTATGTCTTTTCTATAACAAAATTAAGTTACAGTGATACATCATGAATCTGTTCCAGATCCTTCGACTTATACCAAATGAATTTTTCCAAGAGAAATAAAGCAAAAAATATTAATCCATATTAAAAATTCTATTGTTATTGTTATAAAACTCTTTAATACTAAAATACAAAAGCAATAATTGAAATATACACTGAACATAATGAAGCACTGATATATTTTTCTGTAATTCAAATTGAAAGCCATTTTTTAACACGCTCTAATGTCTTTGTTCTGTTTGCAATCAATTTCGCCTCCTTTCACAATGATATCAAATTAAAAAGTGTCTTTGTATACATAACTGTATTTACATTACACTCCGCATACACTATAGAATAACCAAGTCCCAGATATGTATGCAATCTTCATATTTTTCAACAATATCTTTTTTCACTTCCATTTTCACCTCTATGGTGATCCTAATGGGAAGAGTCAATCAGTGAACAATTTTCTTCATTGCTTGATTCTCCTCAAGACATCATTTCTTAGTATTCATTGTTAATGAATTTACAAAAAAATTTATGAAAACATACACACACACACACACACAAAATCGCTTAAAAATTCAGAGTTACAGCGCACCTGTTTACTGAATATAATCCATAATAATGCCACCCAACTGGTATAGTGGTTAGCGTCACTGACTACAGTGCTGAAGGGCCCTTCAAATCCTGGAGAAGGCATGAATATTTGTATGTGTATAGTGTCTGTGCAGCATGGGAGGCACTCTAAATATGTGACAAGCTGAAAGTTTTCTCGAGATCTTGATGGTAAGGAAAAAGGGGGAGACCCTCGGATCTGCCCCCCGGGAGGCTCTCCATCAAAATTGGGGGCAGAAATTGAGCTAAATCGCATTGTCACCTGTAAGGTGCTCAAGGCTGTTGCCAATGACAGGCGTATTGCACTCCTTGCCATGAGAAATTTTGTGGGCTTGGGCTGACTAATGGGTGTGACCATTAGCTACAACAACAATCCATAATAACAATGCCAAGTTACAAAAGTTGTTTACTGAATATATTATAATCAACATTAACACTAGAACAGCCGAATTTCAGACTAACCGAAAACCGCCATTGGGGGTCAATTTGACCCTCATAAGAAATGTAAGTAGAAACACAGTAAATGATTGAAATGGTGCTGAAAGACCACATAAAAGAGTTTTTAGAGGTTTTTATTTATTTTTATTTAGAATTTTTTGCAATAGCAAATTAGCACATATCTTCAATGTAAGATCAAAAAAAAACAAAATCTTTGAAAAACAAACAAAAAAAAAACAAAAAAAAAAAAAAAAAAAAAAAAAAAAAAAAAAAAAAAAAAAAAAAACAAAAAACAAAAAAAAAAAAAAAAAAAAAAAAACAAAAAAAAAAGAAACATATGCAAAAAAATTACAAAAAAACATAAATTGGGAATAAACACGCAATGTTTTCCAAAGTTTGTTATACATTACCACGGTGATACAATATGAACGCTTGCAGTACAGCAACATTTACCACAAATTGGTTTTCTGGCATCCCACAGCTGACAACAGTCTTGTTTTGTCCTTGCCAACTTTAAATGCACATTTCTTTCCTTTAAGTGTCGTATTTGAGCAATTGGGGGGCATCTGTTGCGTAGAGCACCAACTTGTAGTTCTTCCATGAGTGCAGAATAAATTCTCGACGGGAAATAGAGGTGCCCAAGGATTCTTTGAATATAATCCAAGCATGAGTTCAGCAATGTCAAGGACGTGTGTAAAAACATGTACAGGCCACCGCGTTTCCACTACTTGTACTATTTTCCTCAGCATCTGATCTACACAATGCCACATTTTGTACTGTTGTAGTAAGTGACAGTGTTCGGTTTTTCTTTATGCTGTCGTCAACGAACACATTACTGTGCATCGTGCTCAGAATCACGTCATTCTTTCTGCTCTTGCACCTATATATTGTGAGTGTTTTGTCTTCCATTTTTCAGTGCAAAAGATGAATATCGTGCCGAAAGGAAGTGTCACGAGCAATAGGGGGTAATTCTCGCTTATTCAGACGCATCGTCCCGACAATTGTGGTTTTTTTCGCAGAAAGTTCATCTGCAAGTTTCACGGAAGAAGTAAAAAAAATTGGCAGTTGTGACATTGAGTCCGGAGTTTAGATGTGGTTACAGTAATTTGAGAACTACACTTTCCCCAAGTTGTAAATTAGTTGGTCGTTCTTCATCCTTGCCCAGATAAGGATAACCATTCAAAACATATTTGGATTTTACATCAGTTGCTAGCCAGAATTTGATGCCAAACGCCAAACTTGTCCGGTTTATTCGCCATGTACTGGATAAATCTACATCTTGATTTACAAGGCAACAGTTGTTCATCAACGGTTATTTCTGGTCCAGGATTATAGCATAAATAACCGTTTTCCATTAGCTTGTACCAGGTACAGAAGCGGAGCAAATTTCTTTGTGGCGAGACAATCAATCAGCTCTGGTGCTTCGGACATCGAATGAGATATCGCATTATTTCACGGAACTGATGCGTGACATTGTTTCTTTGAACACTGGTGGTCCTCAATCTTGTTCCACAAATCATCTGCACAAAGCTTGGAATGGCCTAGTGCTCCTAGTGTCGTTTTTCTTATGAGGGTCAAAATGAACCCAGTTGGCTTTTGGGTTATATATCTCGATTATTTGTTTAAATAATCAACGTAGAAATGAAAAATGGCATAGTATACTTGGAACATTTTAGAAAAGTAAAAAAATCCAGCTTCGAAGCTCAGCTGTATGTTAAAAAAAAACGCGTAAAATTGGAAAAAAAGGTCAAAATGACCCCAACGGCGCTTCTAGTGTTAATAATGACAATATACAGAATGTATTTCAAAGCAGACATATAGCAAAGTACCATTGTACTTCCTTTTTTTTTTTTTTTTTTAGTTATAAGAAAAGGTTTCAGTAGATATTTATCTGGAAGGAATGGTTGTAGGAAAAGCAGTGCCTTATAATAATTATTTCAAACCTGATCTATAAATTAGCTCTCTAATGATAAAAATTAATAAATAAATAAGGAGGGGAAAAAACTGAAATGTTTCAGATTTTAAATTATGTCCAAAGGGGCGTTTTTTTAACATTTTGTGTGTTACCTTTATTTATTAAATATAATTTTCTTTGAACTTAAACCATAAAATTCAGTTCAACAGCAATGTCGCAAAATAATTTTAAAGTGAGAATATCTTTAGAATTTTCGATACACATTTCCGCGCGCTGGAGATAAAAAGGTTTTTTCCCCCCCCCCCATAGAGTGTTGCCATTGCTTGCTTTTAAATCGTTGAGTTTGGTTATCAAAAATTTGCCAAAGTTTTACAAAATATGAAATCGATAATAAAACAAATTCCAAATTTCGGCTTTCATATGCCCATATTTGCAGTAGAATTACATCATTCAAAATTGGATAGCTCTAAGAACTGTTGTTTTATCATAATGTGAGAAACATACATACATTTATGCAGATTCTTCATTATTTAATTTCTTCAAATATAATACAGAGTGATAGTATTTGGTGGCAACGATTTGAAAAGTGATACACCATTTATAGGGTCCAATGCAAAATCGCAAAATGAAAACAACAGTCCTTCAGGGACAAAGACCTTTTGGACTTAAAAAAAGTTACTCTCAAACACCTGCAGACTCAATTTCAAACACTTGCAACTTCAAAATGCGATTCTCAAGCCCTCAAGGGGACATTTACTTTTGCCTCAAACTTTTAGCTTCAAATAACACAAACGTATACAGTATGTCTCCCCATTAAGGGATTAATGTAGAACTTTCCGTACAGAATGTGATGCATGTTTATCAGAAGATATGATGGCGTTGCTACCACTAGAACCCAGATCTAGCTAATCTACTACTAAACAGGCTAACACTGAAAAATGTAGCATATCTCATTAAAAATGTAACGGAAAATGAGATGGAAATACATTCATTATGCACAAATGTAAGAATTCTTCATTTTCCAACTAGTATGGAGCATTCATGAATTGTTAGATATTTAATTATACTAATGATCTTCCTTCTTGTGTAAACCATGTTTAAAAGTTTCTTTGGATCATTAGTTAATAGAGCAGGAAGTCAGCTTCTCCACAGACTTTGAAATTTTCCGAATAATGTTAGTAATATGAGCATCCAAAATACACCACTTAGAACATACATCTTCAAAAATACATCAGAAAATTTCCATGATTTGGAAAATTTTGATTAAAATATCTATCTGAAATGGAACTTCTAAAAGAAATTTCAGCAGGAACACGAGAATGAATTTTCTTTTACATGATTTATCATCCTGCTTGTTCTTTTCTTCAGTTATATTAAGCATTTAACTTTAAAGAGTTAATAATGCGGGTTTCAGTTTAATTCCAACTGCATCACTCACTTCACGGTGCTGATACCTTATGCATTAATTTTTAAATTATCTTCAACCACTGGCATTATGATGGGCTAATTATGTACCTTTGTGAATAGCTTTACAAATATATTCAGATATTTTAATATTAAAAATATAAGAATAAAGGAAAATTTGAAATTTGCATGATAAACTCTTGAATCTTGATACGAATTTTCTCGACATAATTTGACAATTACAGAGAGTAATTCAAAATGAATGGTACAAAACAAAAACATACTTTTGACTACT